CACCCACACCCACCCACACACACACACACCCACACACACACACACACACACACACACACACATTCGCAATGCAACACCTCACGACCAAAACTTCAAGAAAAGTAGGCACGGTGGTCCTCTTCAGATTTACCATTTACAAAACTTGCTTACTAGTCAAACTTCATGCACCAGAATGGGAGCCCCCACAGAATCATGCCTAGCCGATGAAATCCCTTCCACAGTTCTCTCTCCCCCAAACCCAAAGCGATCTTCCCCAGTATTCTCCATCCCTATTTCAACGGCATGACGTGTCAGAAAACGTGACTTGCCCCTTAAACCAGGAGTACACCTGGGCCTGGAGGCACTGCACTGTGCGCCAAGCTGGATGTCGCCGCCAGCCATTGTGGTCCCGTAGCCCCGAGCCCCGAAAAGATCGGAGTTGGCAACTCTTGATTGGCTCCAAGGCTGGGGCCAGGTACTGGCAGCCCGGTTGAAAAACAAATACGTGGCCGGATGCGGCCGCAGCTTTCTGGGGTGGGGGTACCGGACCAGAATGGCTGGCGGTGCCAGCCAAAATGGGGCCCGTGCCGGTTCTTTTTTTTTCTGGCACGCAGGGCATTCTCAGGCTCGGCTTCTGTAGCTGGGTGAGTCACTGGTGGTTTAAACCTACACTATCCTGCCCAGCTATGGATGCCCAGCCTAAATTTTCCCTGCGCATCAAAGAAAAAAACGAACCGACATGGGCCTGTTTTTGGCTGGCACTGCCAGCCATTTCGGTCCGGCACCGAAACTCCGGAAGTCGCTGCCAGCCATTTCAGTCCGGCACCGAAGCTCCGGAAGTCGTGCTGGTGTATGCGCCGCGACTCTGAAAAAATAGCTGGGCGGGGTATTGGTGGTTTTAACTTTTAAGTTCCCTTTTTTTCACCCTCCCTCTACACTACGCTCCCCCTTCACAGTGTTATGCCCTGGTTGAAGTGGGAAGTGATAAGCCGTGACCAACATTTATAATATGTTCCGTAGTGTTTCTTCACCGTGAATAATGGCCTTTTCCCCCTCCAGATCTCGACCCCATGGAATTTTGTACAGCCTCCTCACCACTCCCAGTTCATGTATTTTATTTATCCAACTCACCCCAGCTGGAAAATGCAAGAGTGCAAAGCCCGGTGGGAGAGACAACACCCCTCTTATGCGCAACCAACTTGGCTGCCGCTGCCAGCAATCACCGCGGGGCTGGTCCTTGGCCTCTACAACACCCTGGGCTTTTTTCTTTGGGGTGGGGGGAGGGGGGGACACAAATGAATATGCAGTTCGCCAAAAAGCCCTCTTCTGTAGGCTGGGGATTATTGAGATCCAAATGATCGATCCGGTAGAACAGAGTGTTCGGCATCATGCAGCATACAGCAAACAACACTTCGTTTACTGAGAAAGAAGATACGAAAAAAAAAAGAAAAAAAAAAAAAAAGAGAAAGAAGATACATGGGGCACAGAGGATCAGGAGCGACACAAAGACAGGAACGAGGTGTGAATTGTAGTAGGCGTCCCCATTTCGCTTTGCGTCCCCCTCAACCCTTTCTCCTCATCGCGACAAGCTCCCTTCAATCCCCACATCCTCCTCCAATCTGGCCCCAAAGCAATTTTGCCAAGCCTCATTTTGTAGATTCTAAAATTCTAAATAGGATACATTTTTGAAGCAGTTTTGGTCACGACTTCGCGTCCAGCAATTCAGCGGAGATGTCTGAATTGCTGCAGCTGCATTTTGTGCCTGGAGGCTTGCAAGCGTCCGTCTGTCAAGTACACAATACAGGAAGGTCCAATCCTGAAGTTCAACAAAGAGTGACATATAAAAGATTCCCTCAACTTCTGTTTGTTTTTTTTTTGTTTTTTTTTTTTTTTTTTTTTTTGGGTTTAAAGCCCTAGCGTAAGCCCTCTATCCCGGCGGTGGTAAGAGAACTGTCAGAATTGAGGGCGTTTCCCTCAACTTCTGAATGAGTCAGCTGTAGTGGGAGCTGCCTGCTTTTGCCCAAACCGACCTGTGTCTTCAGTGTGACCAGCCTGATCCATGGAAAGATAGCGGGGCATATATGTAGTTTGTAACTTTGTACAAATTATGGTTCGTTGCATGTCCTCCTCCCCCCCCCCCCCCCCCCCCCCCCCCCCCCCCCCCCCCCCCCCCCCCCCCCC